AACATTACAAAAGACAACGCCTCAAGTCAAAGGTTCTTCCTGACCCTTGAAGGGGGGGGGGGGAAAAAACCCAAGACGTGCGTTTTTTTTTTTTTATACCACCCCCCCCCCCCCGAAAAAAACCATGTGAGGCGGGGAAAAAACAGGCTGACGGGGGGGGGGGGGGGGGGAGGAGTGGGGAGAGGGGAGGGGGGGAGTGCAACCAAACCGTTCTCACCTTGCAGAAAGAAAGAGGTAACAAGTCTCCCAGAGCGGAGTAGAAGGAGAAGTCTGAGACGTGGCCATAAGAGGACATTCCCAGCGCCTGAATAGCGGTGAACGGTGAGCGTGGCGAAGGTGCTGATGGCGGGAGACACACTTCTGGACATGGGGGATAGAGGAGATGGCGAGAAGGAGTCGCGTGCGGATCTGGAGGTGGAATCCCAGCCGCACAAGAGATTGTCCCATTCCATCGAAGAGATTCTGAGGAGACCCACGTACGTCGGAAAGGGGGAACGAGTTCATCGCGACTGGTCTGTTATCACGGAGAACACCAGAAGATCCAACCAGCTCACGCGTGCAGGTATGTTACTCTTTTCTTTTTATGCTCCCAAGAAGAGTTGATGAATCGTAGTTACCTTTAAGACACGATTACAAAACAAAAGTTTGTATTTCTTTTTCCCAATAGAAACTGCACAAATCACACAACTCGAAGAGCCTCCAAACGGGACCACAGGAAGCTTATGTGAGTTTTATGATGATCGGAAATAGGAGTTGAAAAAGAAATATATATATATATTGAAATGAGATGCTGATGACGAAGCGATGACATCAATGCGTTTGCAGGTCAGAGGAAAAAAAGGCAAACGAGGGTCACTTTCACACCCTTCCAGGTGCAGGAGCTAGAGAAGGTCTTCCAGCACACGCACTACCCAGAAGTCAGCAGCAGAGACCAGTTAGCCTCTCGCCTGCACCTCTCCGAGGGCCGAATACAGGTCAGCGCATCACTGGCGATCATTAACTAAGTGTTTGGCTCTTTATGTTATTTCACGGCGCTGGTGTCCATGATGATTTTACAAACGATAATTTACTTATTAGGTTAATTAAAGTGAGGCAGTGTTTAATAATGTGAGAGTATACTGTTGTGCAATAGGAACAATTTAGCGTTCGTGGTCAAACCAGTACCTGACGATTAAGTTTGTGTCAAATCAACAACCGGTGACAATGGATATTGGGTATTTATTGGGTATAACAGTTTTGTGAACGTTCTGAAAGCAGGCCGATTAAACAAAATAGTCATCAATAGAACACAGTCTTTAGTCAGCTGCTTACACAAGACCCCTCAATAACGATAAATGACACTTGGCCAGGATAAAAGGGTTGACCAGAACTTTGATCCACCACTGATGATTTGGTTTGTCCTCAGAGGGACAGTGATAACAAAAGACTGTGGGTATTCATTTTACCTGATACTACATGGAGCAGTTGCGTAATTTAAATGTGTGTTTCAGATTTGGTTCCAGAACCGCAGAGCCAAATGGAGGAAGGCCGAAACGCTGAAGGATGTAGAGCTGATGAGCAGACAGCACATGCAGCCAGCCGGTCGTCACCTGCTTTATCATGAGGTAACACACTGCTATTCTAAATAGTGCAACTATTGATTCAAAGGCACCGTGTATCCATCATAATGGATATGCTAACTGGGGGAAAAGAGAACATCATCAAAAGTGATTAAATCAGGGATCCCTGTGCTGTTGTGACTCTGGCAGCTCTTACAGAAGGCCGAGCTGCAGGCAGCGTGCTGGCGGCCGTGCTGCGCACCGAGACCCCTTCGATCGAGGCCGTTCCTCGCGGCGATGGCAATGGCCGGCGTGCTGACCAACACACATTCCCCGGACCACAGGACTCTGTATCTCCACCCGCCGGAGACGGACAGATAGCGACTAGTATTCTTAGAAACGATGACACCGCCGTGCGGGATTGCATCACAGCGAAGTCGCCTGCACACCGACTGTTGGACTCAAAATGTCAAAAATGTGTATACTGTGATAACAACAGAATTTTTTCTTTTTTTTTTACACAATAAAGTTGACTTTTAAAGCGTGCAGTTGGATTCTCTCAATAACAAAAAACCTTGGGATAAGTCTATGCTGATACAGTTTGAGGATACACTCACCGTATATTAACAGTAACTTACTGGCAGCAAAGACGCTAGAAATTTACCGTTATTTTACGGTATAATACCGTAAATGTTGTTTACACTGTTACCGTAAAATGGATTACAGTAAATTGCGTGAACTTTACAGTCAACTAACAGCGGACACTCAAATGACTTTTAGGCAACAAACACTTTGAATAATATGGGATAGGGAGGGTGTGCTGTGCAGTGCAAGGTTGGCGGTTCGAATCCTGGCTGCTCCCTGTGCCATGTTGAAGTGCCTCTGAGCAAGACCCCTAAACCCAATTACTCCACATAAATGGGCGTTTTGGCTAAAAGTGACAGCTACATAGTAATGTCCTGTAAGTCAAAGTCATCATTGTATCTCATGAGATACTATCTCATTATGATGACTTATAGGACCTGGTTTTCAGTGGCTGACATGGGCTTCCATACATTAACCTACAAAAGATGTAGATGGATTGTGATTCACTGCACTTGTATGTGTATTTCCACCACTTCATAAAATATATGTAACATGCAGTTGAATTACGGTAGTCTGCTATTATCATAAATTGACAGTTTTAACTGTTTATTCATGACATTGGCCGTTTATTACAAGCAAGAGATGGAAATTTAACTGTGTGTTACAGTTATGACATACTGTAAGATACCGTTAGAAATGCACCGTGAATTTACAGCAGTTTGTTACAGTGTATTGGTACCGCGCGCACACTTCTTGGTAGAAGAGCTGTGTTATTGTGAGCAAACGCATTTTGACATTGTCATGACACCACACTTCCTTGTCAGAGATAAGATATAGTTCTGCCATGAACTTTTTTTATCTGTTTGACTTTCTGACAACCTGTCCTTATCTTAATTTGGGCTGTAAATCCGTGTTACTGGGAGGTCAGTTAGTGGAAATCAAAGAACTGGTCCAAAAGGATCAAAGGGGAATATCAGCTCAAGCTATGGACAGGTACTACGTGTCAGGGCTGTAAATATGTGTAAATAATTGTGACTTAGATGATCATTTATTTAGCTAAACGCACACATTGGCCGTACCCCAAGCTTTCACATTGTGATGTAACACCACATGATATTGTTCTGTGAAAAGGGTCCAGAACACGAACAACTCGTGTCCCCTTTTTTCTGAGAAGTGTCGGATACGCATTCCTTCAAATAATCATCAATTATAGGAGCGATAACTCGGCATCGTCCTTCACTATCAGTTCCATAACTCACTTGACAGGACCATAACTGATTGAGACTGAGAGCGGTTCAACTTGCCCCCCCCCCCCCCCCCTTTGTCATATCTTTTTTTATTGTGTGTGTGTGTCTGCTGTAAAATGGACTTCTCTCTAGGCTGCAGGGGCTATACGGTTTAAAGCAGACACTCATGACTTGATGGTGATGTACAAACAGCTTAGAAGGACGCAAGGCCACACAAACTGCTAGAGGGGACATTTATCGTGAGGAAACCAAGCTATTACAATGTCCTTGAAATGAAATTAAACATGCAGTGAAAATGAAATTAAACATGCAGTGAAGATGAAATTAAACATGCAGTGAAGGTGAATTTGAACTATGATGTGGTCTATTGTGTGACAAAAACTCTGTCTTGCTTTTTTTTTAATTTTACTGTTTTATCATATGTTGTTGTTATATTGAATTACTTTTCTGCTTATTATCTTTTTTTTTTATAAATACTTAGATGCTCTTTTAGATAGGGAGCTCTCTTTTAAATTACATATTGAAAACCTGGTAAAAAAACCTAGACTAAGCCTTCTTTTACAGAAATCGCTTGTTTCTCTTTGAGAGCGCCTAAATTGCTTGTCTCGTCAACTTTTTTACCGTTCATTGACTATGGAGATGTGCTGTATATATGTGCTTCGTCCAAAAGCCTAGCAGCTCTTTATATCACAGTGCACTGAGGTTTTTCACTGCATTCTAAAAAATTTCACCCTAAATTAACGGTATTTTACTGGCAGCAAGGACGCCAGGAATTTGCCGTTCTTTACGGTATAATATCGTAAATGGTTTTTACACTATGTTACCGTAAAATGGATTACTGTATGTTACCGTAAACTTGAACCAATTTTACTGTGAATTAACTGCCATTCACTGTCAGTCGACGCTAGTAACTTACTGTTTTATTTACAGTGCCCCACCGTAATATACGGTATGTTGTCGTATATTGGATTACAGTTTGTTACCATACAATTACTGTTTTTGTGTTATGAATACCAGAATGTTACCGTTTACTTATAACCGTATACTTTTTCATTTAATTCCCCACAAATTAAAGAAAGACAACCAAACTAATTTCGGTCATAGTGGTTGGAGTTTATTAGATGCCCTTAAGACAAAAATGTTAGGCTTTTGTGACCAAGAACAAAACATAAAATATGCCGCATGTATACAATAACAAAAAAATGAATCAAAAAATCATTAGGAACAAGTTAAACTAACTGCAACAACACGCTATGGAACACGCTATAGTCAATTGACCGCAGCAAACAGCTGGCGTCCTTAATCCAGTGCCTCTGTAAAACAAACCAAAATGAAATATTTAGAAACACTGTCATTGGTAAAATATTCAAATTACAAAGTTGAGGAAGACAACAAGATCTAAGGAAGGAAAATGTTAATCATGCCAGGCAAATAACACTTACCAACGTTACTTAGAGAGACGAGGCAAAGAGAAACTCTCCGATGTTGAACTGCACTGACAGGTGTTCTGGATGAACTGAGACGCGTCCGAGTCACGTTCAGGAGCAGTCGGTCACGATTAACACTCAAATTACTTTTATGCAATGAACACTTTGAATAATACAAATATTTATTATCTTTACATTCTAACCACTGAAACGACAGTGAAGGCGGCTCATGGGATTTTACCACTTTAAAAGTGCAAAACGGACGAAAGGTGGCGCACTTTCTCAAATAAGGAGGAGAACCCCGCTGCCCTGCGTGGCGTTTTGCTGGTGTCCCTCACGAGACGATTCCACGTCGCGCCACTTCTTCTACGCGCGTTGATCGTTTCCTTTAGCCGTGCGCCGTTCGCAATATTATTATTTTCATTTTATTTAGGAATTTCCCGCAGCTTTCCTGCTCTGACTCTCAGAAGAGGGGAAGAGGGGAGGGAAGAGGTGGAGGGAAGAGGCGGGGGGGGGTTCAGCATCTCTCAGCCTCCGCCCGCCCGCCTCTGTGTCTCTCCTGTCCGAAGCGGTGGAGAGACCGGAGCGAGGCGCGCCCAGACGGGGGGACAGACAGACACAGAGAGAGAGAGGGGGGGAGAGAGCGAGAGAGAGAGAGAGAGAGGGGCGATGGCCGCCGATGGAGTATGCGGGGAATCGATGGAGCAGTACCGGGCCGAGTTGGAGCGGCTCACCCAGGAACTGGCCGAGGCGAACCGGGAGAAGATCAGGGCGGCGGAGTGCGGGCTGGTGGTCCTGGAGGAGAACCAGGTGCTGAAGCAGCGGTACGCGGACCTGGAGATCGACCAAGACGCGCTCCGCAAGGAGTTGGAGCAATTGCAGGAGGTAAGAGAAGAGGCGACTGTTGCTTTTTGGGGGTGGTGGTGTTGTTTTGTTACACCGTGGCATGCGCACTGCGGACAGGTGTGAGATGAGCCGCATACACGAGGGATGCTTTGTTAAAATGCGTTCACGTGGATTAGGAATTGGTAACAAGCTACATGAGATGGTTTGATACGTTTGATTTATTTCAAAATCCCGTCAATTGAGGCCCGTTCCCACGATGCCAAAGGACTCATCCACTATGAATAAGTTAACGCCAAAAGCTGAATAATGTATGCTGTTTTTGTGCAGTGGATCCACTGACAGCAGCTCGTTGCAAACATCTGTATTGCGAGCAACATTCCTTCTGGCGAAAGCTTTCAGTGATGGGTTCCTCAGGCGCAGGTCTACAACGCTTTGTGCGGTGGACTCGGTTGTCCACTGATTTAAATGTCAGGAAGGGTGAAGTGCGAGAAGACACAAGGACGCCGTGATGGAGGTTTTTAGATTACACACGCATTTGCTGCCGTATAGCAAAACGCTGCGCTGTTTGAAGTTTGGAGCCCAGGGGTTAACAACTTTACAAGGAAAGTGCTACGTGAACAACGGGCCTTCCTCGCTGGCCGCATTAACACAGACAGTCATTAATGCATAAATGCATACAGCGACAAGAGGCGGATGCTGACAGGTCTCGGAGCTCAAGGTCACTTATGGTGATGCTAGAGCCAAAAGTCCAAGAGAAGAGGCTTCTTGTTATGTACCTGTGTGTGTGTGTGTGTGTGTGTGTGTGTGTGTGAGAGAGAACGAGAGCAGCGATATAAGCACCCTGCCGCCAACTTTAATCCACTTTCATTCTTGTCATTTGTGCCACGCTGTCATCTCGTGTTCATGTGAACACCAGTCAGTTTGGTATTAAAGAGCTCAGGCCAGAAGATGCTTGAGAGGGCAGACTATTCTTTTCTTGCAAGCAATTGTTTAAACATCTGTTTTGCATTTGTAAAAGAGGATAACATTAGGAACAGGCCAGTGGCATGTCTCTTAGTGTTTGTTTGTTTGTTGTTATTAGATATACTTTAAATAATAGTATAATACGGTTATGAGATATTTTATTTATTTTTAAATTGTTTGCCACTGTACAGCATTCTACACTACCGTAAAAAAGAAAAAAGAAAATATTGTACTTCCACAGAAATAAGTTACACAATGCGTTTTTGTAGTTAAACCTTTTTGCCTCTTGACTGAATGTATTGTATTGTGAATGAACAAAATGAGGGACATTATGTTTTATTGACCTTTAAAATCTCATGAAAATGTAGCTTATATTTAAAACCAAACTGCACTTGGCATTTTATATTTTAAGTGTTGATAGTGTTGTCCATATAAGAATCTGCCATTTTAGAAATTTTACTTTAAACAAGCACAATCATGAGTCACGAATCACGGCTGGGCGAGGACTCAAATGCAGAGATTCACACTGGAAACCAGATTAAGATTGAAACAAAATATGGTTCTTTATACTGACAAAAAGAAACTTGAAACACAGGAGGTTAATGAGACGTTACACGTAAACCTTCTCTTAATCTCTGTTTATTTGACTCTTATCAACAAGAGCAATCTACGTCTAACCAATACATACTTGCCTGTGCGTGAGGGCCAAATAAATAAAAAAAAACAGTCTCAGTCTACGTCACTGTGCGTGCACGATTTTTTGGCTCGCATGCAGCATCAGAATGATTTGTGCGGCTCGCGGCAGCATGTTAAGACAAAGAGACGGCCTGCGTGAAGCCGGCAGCAGAGCACCGTCTAGCTGATACCTCACACTTAATGGATCGTTACGGATGAGGGGTGATGTGGCGGATGATACGGAGAACATGACGAGACGGGGAGGAGAAAGAAGCGGAGAGAGTAAACATTTGGGCTTTGTAGGAAAGGGATCAGAAGGAAAGATGAAAACAAAGTATGGTGAATTTCTTATTAATAATTCTATGCCAGAAGACGACGAGGTGGATGCGCCTGCCGTACTGTGCTGGACTTCCTGAGGATTCTGTAATCACTTAACATACCAGGCGGTGCTTTGACCCTCTCATAACGGTCCACTTGCCCTTGCAGCATTTTTAAAACCTGTGTAGCAAAACGTTAACTGTCATAGCTGTAAAAAAATAAAATAAAAAAAATGTCAGCTGCAACGGCAGCAGCTCTTTGCTGGGAATCTGTCATCCGTTAACATCTGCACCCATTGTATCCTCTGCTTCGCCACCTGCCTGTCTCCCGCCCCCGCCTGTCTCTCTGTCCCCCGCTCCTGCCTCAGAGAGGGAACATTTTTTCCGGAGGTGATATTACTTCCAGAGCAAAAACACGTCCCGCTCCCTGTCTGTCCGCCGTGCGCTCATGAGGGTGAGATCGAACGGCAGAGTGCAAACCTGCCACTACAATAACGTCGACTCCCGCCCTGCTCGGGAGAGGCGCATTAGCAAAAAGAGGGAATGGAAACTGCAAATGGATTTTTGGAATTGCTTCTGAGACTGAGTGGCCTTCTCAGAAACCGTTATAATAAAAGTCTCATCGTTCTCTTTTTTATTATTTTACTTAATAGATTGAATGATCTGTTTCATCCAGTCAATGTTAATTCATGTACAGGTCAAAGGTTCAGACACATATTCACGCATGTGTTTATGTACATCGATGCGGGCGCCGGCCAGACTTGCACGCATGTCAATACCGACAAGAGCACTACACTCACTTACACGTGCTCTCACACACACATACAGGGCTCGGTACATTTGTATCCGGTTAAGTTTAGTATCTGGCTATGTTTAATGTCAGCCCCCAATTGAATGACAATACAAGGCCATTTGGGAACGAAGAAGCCAACGATTATTTTCATTGTTGACACACAGATTGTTTTCTCCTCCCACAATGTCTCAGAACCTAATGTGCCGTTTTTAAGTAGCGTGTTGTGTTTGAGGTCGTCCAAAAGTAACGGAGGGTTATTTCTGACAGTCTGACAGTTCTGACATTTCACTGGAATTGTTTGGCATTCAGAATCAAAAAGGGTGAAGAAATATTTCCTTGATGTGAGGTGGTCTTCAGTGGATCTTACCCCCCAAGTGCATTTTAAACTTTCTCTCTTACGATATCTCTTAGTGGGATGTTTGTCTTACTTTTGGAAGTTATTATCCGCACAGCGTTTTGGTTCTGAAAGCCAAATAATTTTCGTATTTTTCCCTCACGCGGCCGTTTACACTCAGCCTACGTCCTCTTCTCTCTCTCTCTCTCTCTCTCTCTCTCTCTCTCTCGCCCGGCCGGCCCTATCGCTCTCTCGTTCCTCGTATCTCTGTGTCTGTGCATGTCTCTGGATCGCTGCCATCGCCTCGTGGTTCTGGCTTGTTAGTGCTGTCTCTGGGCAGATCAACCTCAGCTAGGACACGGCAGAGGAGGACGGAGGAGGAGGAGGAGGAGGATGCACAGCGGGGGAGAGTTGTGTTTTCATATGGCTCACATAGACGTCCTCGCCACGCTGACAACAAGGCTCGGAGGCGTCCAAAGATGGAGCTGGAAGAGCAGCGTCGCCGCCGCGGAGTCATGTTATGCCAGATTTACTTATTTTGTTCTACAACGTCACTGGATTTTTGTGTGAAAATAATCCATACTCACCAATTACTTCTCTTAAATCTCCTTTAAAACGAAAAACATGGCTGCCACTCACAGGTGGAAGGAGGAGAGTGAAAAAAAAGTTCTTTATGCGGTCGAGTTGAGAACAGGCAGTTCACACACAACAGATCAGTTATATCATCAAGACTTAAGGCTGAGAAATATGCCAAAAGAAGTATTCATCAAACTCTTCACATATCTTCAAATATATATTCAGTCACGATTCATCAGATCAGCAGGAAATCCTCCACTTCAAGACGAAGTGTCTGTGTTGCTTGCAGCTGTGTGTAGTCACCCCTCTCTTCAACACTGTTGTCTGAGCACAGTTCTTGACTCACAGTATTTGCAGCCATTGCACTTGGCTACTGCAGCAAACATGTTCATCTAGGATTAGTTCGAGATGAGATTAGACTTTGTGGAAGATAACGTGTTGTTTAGTGAGTATAAGAGGTTCTAGCTAGTAAATAAGTGAATAATTTGAAGTATCTACTGTAATGTATTTTAACAGTAATTAATGCTGATAATTGGATTTTAGGGTAATTTTACAGTATATCACAGTATTTGAGGTAATTAAATCGGTTATGGCCTTGTAGTATATTAAGCAGGGGTAAAAGCCAATATTTGATACAAAAAGCACATTCTTTAATTTACAGTTTGCATCACCAGACGAAACGCTGGCATAAATGTCCCATGATGCAATGCATCCATTACCCAGTTGGGGAAAGCTCTATCTGTAACATCAATAACTAGAGTATTTGTATGACATCCCACCATGCCAGCCATAGTTTATTTCACATGAGTTCAACTCCCTATCGGCTACATTGGAGGACATTGGAGGACACATTGGAGGACATTGGAGGACATTGGAGGACACAAGCATTAGTGTTATATATATATATATATATATATATATATATATATATATATATATATATATAAGTTAAACCAGATGAAGCAGAAATTGTTCTTCGCGGGCAAATATTTACATTGCAAAGTATATTAAGAACGAATATCATCATCAAGGGGCGGTTGTCAAATTCACAAAGAACAACAACACACTTGACTGTCCTGTATTGATTTATTGATTTGCTGTCGTTTCCTCTGTAGTCGCTGTACAGTGAATATCACGTCACGTCAGGTCAACATCATGCGACTGCTCGGTCATTGTGAGCAGGGCGTTAAGCTGCCGTTTGACTTGAAGTCCTTCACAGTGAATGTTGAAGTCCAGAGAAGGAGCTGCCAAAGTCACTCTGGTTGCCAAACCTCCCGTGTCTTCATAGTGTAAGGAACAACAAAAGCAGAATACATCACAGATGAGGAATCACATTTCCAGGTGTTTCATATATTTCCCCCATCGACTGGACAGATGTTGC